TGTTTACATTCTCAGTTTGCACATGCATAATTGCACATTGACTGCTGCACATGCTGCTCCCATGCAGCATACATTCTCTAGTATATTCTTATATATTTTTATTATATTGCTGCATTTGCTACTTAAAGTGCCTTAGATTTTGTGTTACTTATTTATCTACTTTATATTTCATTTGTGTTTTGTGGCATTCATGTGGACGGCAAAGTAAGAATTCATTGTACAGGGAAACATGTTTCCTAACTGTGCATATGACAAACACTTTGACTGTGACATTTGTTTAACTACATGAATAAGCCGATGAGCTGTCAGTGCCAAAATCTCTTTTACATCAGGAATTTGAAACTTCCTGTATATTCTGGAGTGTTCATTGCACTTAACTAGCACAAATTACACTGTACTACAAATTACACCATAAATTTTTTTATAACATTTTGTTTGTACATACTACAGTCTTTTTAAAAAATGTTATTATGATATCTGGTCATGTATAAAGGAAGTAGACATGTTTTTTTTTTTTAAATAAGGTATAATGAACAGAAAAGTCAGAAATGCACAGTCAGTGCAGAACTTAGGTATTTCTCAAGCGGTAACAACAAAGCAATGTCATATTTCTGGAGCATTTTCATGTGTCAGTAGACATGTTAAAGTTGTACCATATCGACAGATTTATGGTGCCATGGGGCATTGCTGGAACCTTCACAGGGTAAATCTTTGTTTTTCATAATCCAACTAAACTGTAAATCATGTAAATGATAAACATTTTCAGTGGTACTTTGGTATGAGGAACAACATCTGAAAAGTTTTGTACTTGTTGGTTGAAAGCTTTGCCATAAATGTTTAGTGAAGCGTGAGACAGGATCTCACATTTTATACTAAAGTAACCAAAATTCATTAAATAATATAAAGTACTGCAAATAATTTCATACAAGAAGCTAAAGCACATAAAAATTTTCTATGAACCATTGACCATAAAGTACCAAAAGAGGTATTTTCTGGAACAATGTGTATAAATATTTAGGGTACAGTGTAGTTGAGCAACACTTCCCTTCGTACCATTAGTTTTTTATGAATACGAATGCAGACGCTTTGCGGTTATTAGATGTAATGTTGCTTTCGTCAACGAAAATTATGACTAAATATTGTCGTCAATGAACCTTTATCACGTGACGAAAACGAGACGAGACGCAACGTAAATGCTGGTCATGTGACGATGACTATAATTAAACGTATAATGCAATATTGCTGACGAAAAAACGAGACTAAATGTGGTTTATAAAATAAAAACCATGCTACAATGTCTCTTCATTTTTGTTGACCAAAACGAGACGAAACAGAATGTTATAACGTTATTTTGTCTTGTTGAGTCGCGTTATTATTATTATTTTGCAGTATTTCTGTTTCCTTGTCTCGCTTCAGGGGCCGCATCAGGTCGCAATGCGCAGACGCAGGCGACGTCACTTCCTTAAGCCCCACTCACGGCATTATTTAGAAGACAACAAGCAAAGTTAAGTCTGACAGAGAAAGGGACCGATGACCGGCCGGCCGGGGTTCGTTTGTCTTTGGGGAGAAAAAGAAGAAACGACATTTGGAAAAACTTTCATTACATAGAAGTGGAAAAGAAAACAATGTGTTGTGGAAAAAGATGGGAAGAAATACGGGCACAAAAATCACACAAAATGTGTATTGGATGTATTCTTGAGTCTATAAGGTAACAATAATATAATAAGATAACCTTGTTTGAAATGGGTTTTGCTAAAAAAAAAATTTGTTTTCGTCTATACTTCTAGGTACTTATACTATACTGACTGGGTTAAATAGAATTGCATTACTAAAAAGAGACTAAAATACAATTTCCATTGACTAAAACTAGACTAAATGTCATCAGTTTTCGGGGACTAAAACTAGATGAAAATAGTCGTGGATAATTCTGACTAAAATAAGACGAAAATGCTCCGACTTTTAGTTGACTGAAACTTGACTAGACTAAAAAGAGTATGAACGTGACTAAAACTAATAAAAACTAAAATGACAGCTTCACACAAAGACTAGACTAAAACTAAAATTAAAACAGGCCGCCAAAAAAACTGTAATTAGATGCTTCACTGCCAACTGTACTTTTGGCATGTTTGTGCATTTAGTTTTCACGTAGATTTAATAAACACTAAAGTACAATATTAACAATTCTAACAATGATACCATCAGCTTAATTAACAGAGTGCCTCAATAACCCACCAATGAGGAAGCATAACATTTAAAAGTTAGCACACACAAAAAGTACAACTGTTTAAGTAAACGGTAAAGGGGATTTGTTTATTTTTTTTCTCCCTGTCTTCATTCTTTCTCATAATCAAGGTCATGAAATTTTGCCCCATTTTGTCTCAAACTTTGTCTACTCCACAAGGACACAGTGCCCCTGAGGGTGATAACAAAGGAAACATTTAGATTTTGAAACTTTGAAAAGCTGGTTTCATTCAACTGTAGACCCAACTGAGGAGAAGCTTATGCTAAAAAGTAGTGGATATTACAAGCCCACAACTTTTATCCACCAGAACTAAATGCCTAACACCTAACCTATATTACTTGTGTGATGTAAGAATGTTAACACTGTTATAATCTTTTTTAGTATAATATGTGTGTGGGTAGAAGTGAATCATTTACTGCTTGCAAATCAATGATGGTAAGATGATGTCATGGGGTAGGACTGGATAAGTCTGACTTCTTCCTACTCCATTCAAGCATGTACTAGGTATAAGCAAATTGATATTGGATTATGTGTAAAATTATGTGTGTTGTTATATCAACTGTTTTACATGCTTGAAAGAATAAATCAAATCAAACCTAATTCCAACCTGAACCCTAAAACCAAACCTGATTTGGTTTCAATTTTTTTCTTTTCATAGAAATGTGCTTAAAATGAAAGAAAATCTGAACTGAGCAGAACAATCTACTCTCAAACACAATGAGAATGAGGCTGAAGTTTGGTGAACACCTCCTGATGGTGGCACCTCAGCAACAAAACCTGACATTTACTAATTAAATCTAACATTTGTTAATTTCATGTGTGTAAAACTCACCTGGTCATTAAAACAAAACACAATTAAAATACAAAAACCTAATATTAAACTACTGAATAAACCTTATGTGATTTAGTAGATGGGAATAGAGATAAGCAGAAATGATTCTGACAGTTTATGTAAGTTCGTCATGTCCTACCAGATCACTCTCTTCTTCCTCTTCTCTTTTGGGTTCCGTGGCCTCGTCATCAGGATTGAAGTCTTCCATCTCAACCTAATAACACAACCGTGTTAGTTAAGCAGGTAATGACAGAGAACAATCATAGATTGAAAACCAAAGTCTTGAAGCGCTCACCTCCTCTATAGCAGCATCCTGAAGCAGGGACCGGACATCCAAGCGCACCATATGACGTGGCGAAGCCTCCCAGTTATTGGACATCTGTGTACAGAATACTACATTTAAACAACATACACTACATATACAGTGGGTACGGAAAGTATTCAGACCTTAAATTTTTCACTCTTTGTTATATTGCAGCCATATGCTAAAATCCTTTAAATTCATTTTTTCCTCATTAATGTACACACAGCACCTCATATTGACAGAAAAACACAGAATTTGACATTTTTGCAGATTTATTAAAAAAGAAAAACTGAAATATCACATGGTCATAAGTATTCAGACCCTTTGCTGTGACACTCATATATTTAACTTAGGTGCTGTCCATTTCTTCTGATCATCCCTGAGATGGTTCTACACCTTCATTTGAGTCCAACTGTGTTTGATTATACTGATTGGATGTGATTAGGAAAGCCACACACCTGTCTACATAAGACCCTACAGCTCACAGTGCATGTCAGAGCAAATGAGAATCATGAGGTCAAAGGAACTGCCTGAAGAGCTCAGAGACAGAATTGTGGCAAGGCACAGATCTGGCCAAGGTTACAAAAAAAATTTCTGCTGCACTTAAGGTTCCAAAGAGCACAGTGGCCTCCATAATCCTTAAATGGAAGACGTTTGGGACGACCAGAACCCTTCCTAGAGCTGGCCGTCCGGCCAAACTGAGCTATCGGGGGAGAAGAGCCTTGGTGAGAGAGGTACAGAAGAACCCAAAGATGACTGTGGCTGAGCTCCAGAGATGCAGTCGGGAGATGGGAGAAAGTTGTAAAAAGTCAACCATCACTGCAGCCCTCCACCAGTCGGGGCTTTAGGGCAGAGTGCCCCGACGGAAGCCTCTCCTCAGTGCAAGACACATGAAAGCCTGCATGGAGTTTGCTAAAAAACACCTGAAGGACTCCAAGATGGTGAGAAATAAGATTCTCTGGTCTGATGAGACCAAGATAGAACTTTTTGGCCTTAATTCTAAGCGGTATGTGTGGAGAAAACCAGGCACTGCTCATCACCTGTCCAATACAGTCCCAACAGTGAAGCATGGTGGTGGCAGCATCATGCTATGGGGGTGTTTTTCAGCTGCAGGGACAGGACGACTGGTTGCAATCGAGGGAAGGATGAATGCGGCCAAGTACAGGGATATCCTGGACGAAAACCTTCTCCAGAGTGCTCAGGACCTCAGACTGGGCCGAAGGTTCACCTTCAAACAAGACAATGACCCTAAGCACACAGCTAAAATAACGAAGGAGTGGCTTCACAACAACTCCGTGACTGTTCTTGAATGGTCCAGCCAGAGCCCTGACTTAAACCCAATTGAGCATCTCTGGAGAGACCTGAAAATGGCTGTCCACCAACGTTTACCATCCAACCTGACAGAACTGGAGAGGATCTGCAAGGAGGAATGGCAGAGGATCCCCAAATGCAGGTGTGAAAAACTTGTTGCATCATTCCCAAAAAGACTCATGGCTGTATTAGCTCAAAAGGGTGCTTCTACTAAATACTGAGCAAAGGGTCTGAATACTTATGACCATGTGATATTTCAGTTTTTCTTTTTTAATAAATCTGCAAAAATGTCAAATTCTGTGTTTTTCTGTCAATATGAGGTGCTGTGTGTACATTAATGAGGAAAAAATGAACTTAAATGATTTTAGCATATGGCTGCAATATAACAGAGTGAAAAATTTAAGGGGGTCTGAATACTTTCCGTACCCACTGTATATATGACCATTAGCAGAAATTCAGAAAGGCAAGAGAGATTGTGCAGACCTTCATTATATCCTTAAGTGTGCGCCCATGGATGTTTCTCTTTGCACAAGTGTGAGTGTCTGCAGTGATTTCAGCCAGATACACCTCAAAATATAAAGAAGAAAACTCTTCAGCACAGGGAAAAGTAGAGTAACATTTTGTCTGTCTCCTCATGAACATAACTCACCTCAAAGCCTTTCGTTTTAGCAGCACTCCAGAACTTATCAAATTGTTTAACCTTGTCGTTAATAGTGTCTAAAATGATGAAGGGGAAAAACCCGTCATCCAGGGTTTTCCTAAACGTTTTAAGCATGCTGCTCCGATAGGTGTCTTCCATCTCCGGCTCATACTCATACTCAAGAACCTGCAAGACAGATTTTTGTTACACTTTTCAAAATGTCTAAAGCAACAATAGTAATAGTTGATTCTGAATCTGATTTATATGAAAGCACCACTTTGTTAAAGCTGTATGTCAGGCTCACCTTGGTTTTGACCCTCTTTCCTGTGTCTGGGTCTTTCTCAACTTTCTCAACCTCTGTCATGAAATAGTCATCCAAAACGAGAACTCTTGGTGGGGCACCGCCACAATCGACTTCTTTGTCCTTAATTTTGCCAATAAGATGGAAAGGTTAAGTTTTCGTGTTTCTTCTTGATTTGTTATAAAAGGAAACAGTATGTGTTCCATCAAGAAATACTTCCTAGGAGCACATACAATTAGGCTCTATTGTTCTTGGTGCGGTATGAAGTTCTTAAGGTCCAGTTGCATTAAAATTTCTTTAGAGTAGGATATGCTGATGTGATTCCACTCACCCGTATGAGCTTTGCAACGTGGCTTTTCCCGCTTCCTGGAAGCCCTCTCATTATGATGACAATCTGTTAAAACAGTAAAAATAAATGAGCACTGAACATTACACAACAAATAATCAGATACTGTTACATCAGGACACACTGCAGCAGTTTTTAGTACCCTTTCAGGCCGAGATAATCTGCCAGGTGATTTGAGGATGTCGTCAATATTCTTGATTTCTGGCTTCTTCTCGACTCGTGGGGGTGGCTGAGGTGGAGGCGGTAGAGGTGGTGCGGTGGGTGGCCCTCTGTCCTCTGGATAGCTTCTTCTGTCCACTGTATGACATTATGAGCAATTAAACTATTTATCTAAATTGCTTAGTTTATTCAATTACAAACTTATTTTAACAGACTGAACATACTGTAAGGTGAGGGGCTATGGCTGTAACGCTCAGGTCCACTGCGATCAAGTCCAGTGCGGTCATATGAAGATCTATCAAAGCCAGGCCTTCCATAAAGTTCATCTCGATCGTGACTGCTACTTCGCTCTCTCTCCTGTAGATCCCGGTCTCTATCCCTGAATCCTGAGCGCAGAGGAGGTGCCAGTGGAACTCTACACAGAGGAGGAGCATTATTAAGTTTCCTCAACATAATTCCTTGTTTCAAACTGGCACACACTGATAACTAATCACAATGTGATGCAGTACCTTTCTTCAACCATGGACTGTGTGCTTAAATCATAAGAAGACAAACAGAAAAGAATATTACATATGTACGGAAGCAGCACACTCCCCCATAGGTCGGAAATAAAAAGGTGTCTGAAGCTGAACATGTTACCTGTTATCAATCTCCCTTGGAGGATAGCGCTCCCTCTCAAATCTTTCTCTTTCATATTCAGGTGGAAGCTTTTCTCTGTATAAATCCCTCTCTCTATTGTACTCCCGTCGGTCCATGTAGGGGTCTGGCCGTCTTTCGTAATATAGGTCTCTACTGTAAGGATCTCTTAGACCAAGAGGTTCTATGAGGAAAATTATACAGTTCATCCATGAACAATGGTTGAAAATTGCAAAAGCAAGCTTCACTTCAAAGATAGGTTTCAGGACTATAAGGCCTACCTTTTTCATAAACTCTGTCTGATGGTACTGGGTCAGGCCTCAACACAATTCTCTCACCATAAGAGATACGCTCAACAGTGGTTCCGGGCTCTGAAACAGAGAATGATAATGTCATCAAAAATATCCTGAAACATAACCTGTAGCATGTGAAGAAATGAGCCTCGTTGCTCCTCATACCATGCCCATGCCCATAATCCACAGTCTTAGGAATCAGTGGAGCTGTTGGTGCAGCAGGGAGAACTGGCTGGTAATCTGTGGCAGCTGGCTTTGTGTCCCAAGACACAGGATCAGTTTTAGAGGTGTGTGCTACTGCAGACATGCCCTGAGGATGACAGATATTACATAGATCTAAAGGGCTAGACATGCTTTGTGCATACCTTCTACCAGACATAAATGTGCATACGTTCCTATTCATACTTCAAATCAAGGGTTTGCCTTTTGTTCAAACGTCTTCCAAACACTGTGATACATGTTTAGACGAGGCTGTTACTGTGCAGACCGTCTGAGTGCAAACAAAAGTTTTTGGCCTGCCGGCATGCAGACCTTTGCACAGAACCGTGCAATCCTCCAAAGATGACCTCAACCTTAGAGGATATGCAGATGCACAAAGCATGACTAGCACTTAATAGTTAAAGTGCCCATGGCATGCCATGGGCACTTTAAAAACATAATAAACCTAAAGGTAGGTGGGTAATGGTTCACCAAATCCACAGTTGCTGGAACTGGCACACTCAGGCTGTGGATGTTTAGTTCACAGTAAAAAAAAAAAAAAAAAGTTTCAAAGTCTGGCTAGTGTGCTCTGGTGGCCATGCTGCTCCTTACATGTCACATGACTGACATGGTTTGAAAAATAACCAGTAAGATCACCATGCTTACAGCAATGCATTCATACCAATGAAGCTAATATAGTAAAGTAATTATTATTTACCTTCAGAACATTTCTGACATCTGGTGGGATCTCCAAACCAAGAAGACCAGCGGGAAGCTCAGGTAAGATGTCAGCTGGTGCAGCTTGAGGTTCAGTACCAGAGGTCTTCCCCTCCTGCAATTCTCTGTAGGCCCAAAAGAATGAAGGTTTGTTCACCCACAGGTTTGCTAAAATCCACTTGACCATCAAATAAATTAAGCAATATATTAATAAAAGGGCAGACAAAACAGCCTTTCGGTTTAATTACTGCAATGTGCAAAGAAATGTCAGCCTAAAATTTTGTATGATTTAATTACAACAAATATTATTCCATCCACTTCAAAGTGTTTCTGGGTGGCAGCAAAATTCTCTGAGGTAGATATTTTAAAACCTAAGCAAATAATACCGCAATCGGCATGGCTAGATACTAGGGGTGTGACATGTCGCAATATTAAAATGTGACAATATTTATCATCGAGGCAAAAGTTGTCTCAGGATATCAGTACATAACAAAACCGGAGCAGCAGCCAGTATGACAGAGTGTGACGGCAAAGTGACATTCCAGCAAAAACGCCACTCCCTGCTGTGTTTTAACGCTTTGGGGCTGTGTTGGTCAGGGGTTTTGGTTTTCAGAGGGAGTGTTGTAGGTGTGTACAATACGGCCACGTTGTGACAAGTCAACATGAGTGGCTTCATTCACATTTCTAGCCTATGAGTTTCCATTGTGTTTTGATTAGCCATGTTGCCAACATAGCCTACTCGACCTTTGCGCCAATTTTACCACTAGTGTGTCGGCATTGATGGATAAAAACACTAACATCCTTTACTAATGAAAATACATGGCGTGTCATTATGGTGTGTTAACTGTTAACATTTTGTGACTTTCAGTCAAATAAAAGGCTATTTTTCCAGTCAAATATTTTATAATTGAAGACTTCTTAAAAATAGTCTCAATATATTGTTTCAGCTTGTTCTCGTGAACCCAGTATTGTGTATAATCTCATCTTGAGAGCTAAGTGTATCATCAGGCCCCTACTAGATACTACTAAAGCTAACTGAGAAAGTAGGTTAATTTATCTGATTGCTCTGTTTAATGTAATAAAGAAACAGTCTAGAAAATACCTTATAAGTTTAAGCTCTTGAGCAGCTTTCAAGATGATTTCATGCTGACGTTGAGAGAGGGCAAGTACATTGGCTCCACTTGCTCCTTGTGATCCCGCTTCAACTGAGCTCTCAGCCAAGTTTGTGATTGGTACAGCAGGGGGTGGACGTGGAGGTGTATCCAAAGGAGGCTCTTCCCTGTGCTCCTCATAGCGAGGTCTGTGACCTTCATGGTCAGAAGGATACCTTCTGTCTGGTGGTGGAGGAAGTCTTGAAGGCCTATCCCATTCTGATGGAGGTGGTGGATAAGGTGGCTCTTCCTGTCGGTATGGTGGCTCATTCCTGTACTCACGAATTCGAAGTTCTCCTCTTCCCCTGTCAAGCTCCTCATATGAATATGAACGACCTCTTTCTCTATCCTCTAGCCAGCAGTCTTCTCTGTAGGGTTCTGGTGGTGGTACGCGAGGAGGATAGTCCCTCTCAGGAGGAGCACGCTCTCTGTCCCAGTCTGACTCATACATAGCCTCATGCGAATAGTCATCAGGAGGATAGTCCTGCGGTGGCCGCCAGCGATGCTTGGCTTCCCCATGACCATAATCTTCAACATAACCGTCATTATATCCCTCTTCATATTCTGCACGTGCTGGACCTGGCCGCCACATACCTCTTGCCATTCCTCGACCCACAGGTCTCCTCCTCATTCCTCCCCTGTCTATTATCTCATGTGGAAGCAGAGGAATGCCTCTGCCATGCGGAGGCTGCCATCCCAATTCTCTCTCCATCCCTTCATTGTACTCCTCCATATGATCCATCAATTCGTGAGGTGGCAGCGGGACATGACGCCTGCCTCTTCCTATATCAGGATGCATTGGATGGCCATGTGGGTCACGTCCATGGTATAGTGGGTGCCCTGCAGGATCCATTTCGCTATCATCAGTGTCAAGTCCATGGCCTATTTGTTCATGATCCACTTGCCCATGTGGTGGGTGAGGGGGACGTCCTCGTCCATGGTGCATGAAACCAAGATGCCCACGAGGGGGACGACCCCTGCCAGGTGGAAACGGGGGTCTCATTCCTCTCATTGGAGGAATCATTTCTCCCCAGTAAGGGTCCCCTTCCTCTGAGTACTCTGCTGAATCAGGCTCTTCCCAGTAGCTGTCCAATGGTTCTCCTCTTCCCATGGATGGTCCTCCTCTGCCCATGGGTGGTCCTCCTCTGCCCATGGGTGGTCCTCCTCTGCCCATAGGGGGAACCCCTCTACCAACAGGTGGACCTCCTCTTCCCATTGGAGGACCGCCTCTTCCCA